GGAGTCAAAGTCGGCTTTTCTGAAGTCCAGGGTCCGTATTCTGCTGCTCTCCTTTCTTCCTTTTGTCAGGATCCTGAATTCAACCACCTTCTGATTACTGTTGCCCAGGTTGCCACCCACTTCTACTTTCCCAACCAATTCTTCCCTGTTTGTGAGCAGCAGGTCAAAAGGAGCACGGTCCCCCATTCATTCCTCCAGCACGTGCACCAGGAAGTTTCCCCCAACACTGTTTAAGAACTTCCTGTATTGTCTGTGCACTGCTGTATTGCTCTCCCAGCAGATGTCAGGATGATTGAAGTTCCCTATGGGAATCAGGGCCTGTGATCTGGAAACTTCTGTAAGTTGTCCGAAGAAAGCCTCATCTACCTCCTCCTCCTGGTCTGGTGGACTATAGCAGACGCCTACCAGAACATCACCTGTGTTGATCTCGCCTCGAAGACTCTTATTTGTTTTGTCAGCGTGTTTAAAGTTCACAATTTGCCACTGACAGATATAATGGCTCCAAACAAGATATAGCTGTCTCTAATGTGTCCGAGATCTATAGATTATAGGAGTATCTCAATTTCCACTGAATATTTTTTTAACTACTGTTGTGGGGAAAACAGAACAAAGAAGACCAGCACAGAAATCTGTGTTTATGTTATATGAAGTTCCTGATTTATAGGTCTGAGCAGAAGCCCTTCAGTCCCACAGTCCTTTGAAATTCTGTGTTGATGTGGTCTTTTATCTAAAGTCCAAAACTTTTCCTAGTGCTTTCTAGGTCACCATTTCTGCAGGCTTTGAACTGCTTTCTCCACTCGCCTTCCATGTCTTTTTAGAGTGACCATATTTCCAAACAAAGAAACAGAACATGTGGCCATTTTCTCCCATCATCACCTCCTTCACTTCTTCCTCTCTCTCAGCATACCTTTTCCATTTCCAGCTTTTTTCTTTTACTCTTAAAATCCACCACAATAGCTTGCATTTACTCCATATTAGTTCTCTTATTTTCTTTCCTTTTTTGTTCTCTTCTTTCCCTCTGTTAATATCCCCATCACCTGGTCCTTCCGGGCTCATTACTGACATAAAAAAACCATCAGGATAATCTCTATCTCAAAGATCTGCTCTTAAAGGCCTGTAGATGCTCCTGTTCATTGAGATATTCCCTGTAGCAGCAGTTCAAGATCAGTCATGGGGTTGCTAAAGTCCTGGTTTCCATATAACTAGCCAGAACCCAAGGAGTGTCTCTTAAAATTGAAACTGTGAAAATACCAGTGAACTGGGAGATCTGGTCACCTTAATATTTATGTATGAAAACAATGTTATCTACTGATGCCATATACAGTAACTCCTCACTTAAAGTCGTCCCGGTTAACTTTATTTCGTTGTTACATTGCTGATCAATTAGGGAACATGCTCGTTTAAAGTTGTGCAATGCTCCCTTCTAACGTCGTTTGGCAGCCGCCTGCTTTGTCCACTGCTTGCAGGAAGAGCAGCCCGTTGTAGCTAGCTGGTGGGGGCTTGTAACCAGGGTGGACCAGCAGCCCCCCTATGAGCTCCCCGCTCCCCCAAGTTCCCTGTGCTGCAGCTGCCCAGCAGGCTATCAATTGCCGGGCAGTTCAGCTATCCCTCCCCCCA